TCTTTTAAGAAACATCTTTAGACATTTTTATTCAGACAGGCTTTGAGTTAATACTGATTTTTTAATTCATTCATTATATTTTCTTCATTGGATTTGTGACCTGTTCTTATTGTTTTTAGTTATTTTGCTCTATGTTCAGCAGTTTGTGATGTTTGTGTCTGTGGTGCTAAAGTTTACTTACTTACTAATAATGATTAATAAACACTGTCAGATTACTTATTGCTATATCATAGCTTATTGCTTCAATAAAGGAAATATTCTACCTTTGGGATATAAGCACCAGTGTGTGCAGCTGCCTTTAAGTGTCCACAAAGACCTCCTGTTGGTGGCATTCAGCTTAAAATAAAAGATTAAATTAAAACTAGGCTTTTGTCATTTTTTATGCCACATTTTTTTTTATTTCTGTGACTTTTAAAACAGATTGAATAAGATCAGGGGGCCCTTACCCCTTTAAACTGGTCCCTTTAGGCCAATTTGGATGCAAAGACTGCAGTGGTGGGCAGCACTAATCTAAAAATTAGTTCCACTAGCCATAAAAAAACTAACTCACATATTTGGGTCCCCTAATTCTAAAGCACTAATGCACTGAAAGTTTTAGCAAAAGCTAATTCTAAAGCACTAAAACAATCAAATCAACCCATGAACATTCTTTATCATGACAACATGAGTCATATGTTGTCATGTTGCTCTCTTAAGACTTATGATTGACATTCAACAGCTGTATTTGACTTCATATATCAATATGTTGTCACCTGGTAAACAAAATGCATTAACGTTGATCAATAACATTTAGTGCTTCTAAATTTAGCCTATAAATTTAGAAAGCACTAATCCACTAATAAATTTCAAAATTAGCAAAAGCCCTAAAGCACTAATCAGGAAATTAGTTCCTATTAGTGCTTTAGTGCTTTAGGGGAACTGTGCCCACCACTGGCAGGCTGTTAATAACATGTTTCAACCCTTTAATACAAAATATTTGAATATTTTTATAGTTTTTGTTTGTGTCTGTATTTTAGAAATAATTGACACACAAAAAAAAATCCCAGTTATGTTTTTTGTGAACGTGGTCACGTGACATCAGCCCTCTTGGTTTCACTCTGTGTTTGTGAAAGGAAGGGAGGAGGGCCCCAGACAGACAGCGTGGCTGCCCTTTTTGTCGCAGTAACACACAACTTGTCCCGGTCGGACCAGCACAACAGCTGCTCACAACAACCCCCCCTCAGGTGGAGCCCTTCCGGCCGAGCATGGAAGACTCTTCCAGCCTTCTGTCACGGTAAAAACCCGACTGTCGGCGACGCGGGAGCGGGTTTGTGTCGCAGAAGCCGACAGACGGATCACCGCTCGGMCGGCGCCGGGAGCCACCAACCCCGGCCGCTGGGAACCGGAGGGGTCGGCTAGCGGGAAGCTAACTGTCAACACCTGGTGGGGAGGGAAGCCTTTTCGGTCCACCGTCCTCAAACAGCTTTGACACCCAAGGCAGCGGGTAGGTTATTAAATCGGCTGTATTTTCTTATCTTTCACTCGAAACATCCCTTATTTTTTATGTTGTTTTCAAACTACAAGAGGGTTAGCATTAGCATTTAGCCTACTAAATGATGTCAATGTGTCCGAATGTGTTTGTATATTCACAGAGGCTGCATGTTTATGATGATTAACTCTATTAATTAACTGAGCATTTTCCAGTCACTGGGTTGATGATTTGTTGCTGTAATCTCTGAGCTGTCATTCCTAAACACCTCATCGTTAGCTAAACTAGCCAGTGAATCACCCCGGCTGAGAGAGGTTGATTTAGTTTTAATTTAATTTCCTCCTCCTCCCAACAAAACATTTCAGTGGCAACGTGAAGATGGATGGAAACGTGAAGGGTGGAACTGTCACTTCATCCAAATAGGAGGGCGTTTGTCAAAGGTAAGCTCATTTACATCATGGTTGATTACAAAAGAGAGCTGGTTTTGTGCACTGAATGTAACTGATCATTGTTGTGCAATGAGGTACAAAAGGCTAAAACCCTGTTAACTACAAAGATGCAAAGCTATATCTTTTACCAAAAAGTAGTATACTTGAAGTTCATTTTAACAAGTAGACTTGAGGATAAGTTTTAAGTATATCATTAGGCACCATGTACTTGTAGTGCACTAGAAAGTATACAAGGGTTGGGCATAATTGTATCATGTGCAATTAATCGTCAGAAAAACATTAATCGTTTACTTTTTGGCACTTGACGATCAATACGATTAATGCCACCAGGCAGAGTCCGCTCGCTGCTCCTCTCTGCTTCAAATATGATGAACATTAAAAAAAGTTCTGTTATTTATGTATCTATCTACACAATTTAAAATATGATATATAGCTTGAAGTCTGTAATTTTGACACAGTTTGGAACAGATTTTTATGAAGAGCAAATATTTCCCACTAAATTGGTCATGTGACCAGGACATAAGGGTGTCCAGATACTCCAGGGGATTAATTGTCAAATTAATCGTTATCAGCTAAATACCGCAATTTAATCGTGATTAATTTTTTTGACAATATTGCCCAACCCTAAAGTATACTGATTTGATACTTGTTAATACTAAATTGGGACAATTTTTAAAAAAAAGTTTATAAAAAGTAAACTTTAAGTATATTGTTATGTCTTTTTAAGTTTATAAACTTACCAAAAATAAGTATAATTTAAGTACGTCATTAAAAAGAAAAAAATTGTATAGGTCCTCTGGACGGGTTCTTCTCTAATGAAACGTTTYGTCTCTCCTCCAAGAGACTTCTTCAGTCTGAGAGTTTCAGGCAAAATTCAGGCTTTTRAGYMCTGCCTCCATGTGACTGATACTCACATCACATGGCAGCCTGAATTTGGCCTGAAACTCTCAGACTAAAGAAGTCTCTTGGAGGAGAGACGAAACGTTTCATTAGAGAAGAACCCGTCCAGAAGACCTATACWATTTTTTTCTTTTTGATTTTTTACCTGGATTACTGAGATGCATCAGGATACACGTCATTAAGTACACTAAAGAATATAAAAGTGTATTTCCCTAAGTGTACTTTTATTTACTATGTACACATACAAGTATGCTATCCATTTACTAGCAAGTATACTTCTGGGACTAAATTGGCCCTACAATAAGTTTATGAAAGTAATCTTCTAAATATACTTTTAGTTTAATCTTGAAATATACTATAAATAAACCAGTCTGTGCGAAAAGTGTACTACTAAAGTTTATCTTGAACAAAAGTTTAAACATTAGTACAGACTAAGTAAAATTAAACTTTTAGTGTACTTTGAGTACAAGCCAAGCATAGTGTAAGATAAACTTGGTTAAGTGTATCTCAGATAAGTACATAAAAAGTAAACTGGAAGTATACTCATATTTTTTAGTTTAAAGTAGTATATTTACAGGATACTTGCATGTACTTGTTTTTGCTAAGGGTATGTTTGGCAGAGACACAGCAAGATGTTTAATTTTGCCAGATCTGCTCACACTGTGTGCCAAATATTCAAAACAAGCTTGTGTCCGGCCCAGTGTTTCCCCACACCCCACATCCTGTGTTTTGAGGAAGCTTCCTCTTTTGTCCAAAACTACTTTGCTGCATCCTGATCGCGGTGACAGATCACAGATCTGCTCAACGAGGGGTTTGTTTGTTCTAGCTCGGAGTTAGTTGTGTTTTGTTCTTTTAACACAGTTTCTTCCACCATGGTTTGAAAACTTTACACGCTCGTACAGGCTTCCATCAGCGGGAACATTCGTCATTCAAAGTTTGCTACCCCCAGTTGTTGGTTTTTACACTTCCTGCAGCCTTCCTTCTATTCACAGCCKAGGAAAGAGCAACAGAGCACAAAGAATGACAAACAAACAAGATTTATTTCTTAATCTGCTTTGTGTTTCTGAGTGTTTTTTAATATGTTGTACATAAGATGAGATTTAAATTGAGGTAAAAATATGGGAAAAATCCTACAAGATGCTTATTTTTCATCGTCATATCTCATCTGCAGCTGAGTCACTGTGTTGTTGTTTAGCGGTCTGTCCAAAGTAGTTGTGTCACTGAAGACTCATCCTTTCCCGGTGCTTCACAACACAAGGCTGAATGATGTAATCATAACAGGCAAAAGTCTTGTTACTTAGTTTTATAAGCTAGTATTTTTTTTAACCGAAGTATTGCTTCTATGGACATATTGTACATATTTACATATTTATTTACATGTTTTACAATTAAACTGTTTTAGCTAGGCATATATATATATATATATAGGCATTTTTTTAGTAATTTAAAAACTCTATTTGGGTCATGGCATTACATGGAGATAAATTGGCTGAATAGCCTTTTAGTTCCTGTTGATTTTTGAGAGATATTTGAATTTATTATGGCCAAACTAAAATACTTTTCTGAATGATTTTATTTGACGTGACTCGTGGAAACTGGTGTGACAAAAGCAGGGATGCACGATATATTTTGGCATTACCATCGGTATCTGTCAATTTTGGTAATTTTTTAGAATATTTGTATCGGTCTGATAAGTGAAACTGGGCCAATATTAACGTCTGATATTGGTTTATCACTTTTTAGCTTTGTGTTTGTTTTGGGGAAATGGTTGGTCGAGTGGTATCTGTTTGATACTGATAGTGATGGTCTGGTCATGTTTTTGTGGTATAGAAAAAAACACAAGTGTATTTGTGTGTTTATGGGTAAATATYAATAATCAGCCAACACCATTAATAATATCGGATATTGATATCAGCTTAAACTTTTATATCGGTGCATYCCTAGACAAAACGTTTTCATTTTAGCCTAAATGTGTACATTATTTAAGAGAKACACGAATGTTTCTTAAAGCTTGATAATTGTTTTTGCTTTGAGGTCAGTAAATGTCCAATGTGTTTATATTTTATTTACCATAAACACGAGTGAGAATAAAACATGTTTATCAGTATAATTAATTAAACCCAAGTTAAAAATCTGTTCCTAATCAGAAATTTTAGGGCAATAAGTGATAAAAATATGTGAATAATAGCTTTGATCCTCAGCAGTCAGGTTCTGAACAAATGTTTTAGTTCTTTTAATGTATTGTTATCTCATAATCTTTGAACCCGAAGCAGTCTGCAGGACTGAAACACGTTCAAAAACAGTGCTCATGGGTCTTTAAGTATTCATTTGAAGTACTGTAACCAAATTTGGTCWTTCAGCAAGCTTTAACTTGTCAGATTTATTAAAATATTTAGATCACTTACATTTTTGTTGCATTTTTCCTCTTAGTTAATTAAATAATTTTATGGGGAAAAAATGCACAAGTTCCTCTTTGTAACTATGTTGAACACAGGTCGTTTAATAAAGTTTCTCAGAGACTGCCCAAAAAAGTGTTTCTTGTTTAAACACCAGCATTAAGTCAACTAACAAACTGCTCATCAGCTTTAAAAATTACCGTAGTACTATTTTGAATAAGTTTAAACCTCTTAGGCTGAAATTAAATGGAGTTTTCAGCCTGTGCGTTATTAAAACATGTCRAACTTGCTTTTAAGTGTTAATATTTATTTTAGGTTGTGCTCTGCCGCTTAACTGTGTAACTGAGCTGAGAGACTGAGAGGAAGATGCCTCCCAGACCATCCTCAGGGGAGCTATGGGGCATCCACCTGATGCCTCCAAGGTATGACTGTCTARTTTGTTGTACAGCCCAATTTGTATACAAACACTTCAAAGGGTTTCACAGGAGGAAAATAAATATTGAGGTTTCTCACTAATGTGACGATGATGACAATCTGTATATGTGCAGAATTTTGGTGGACTGCCTGCTGCCCAATGGGATGATTCTGATCCTGGAGTGTCTCCGTGAAGCCACGCTCAATACCATCAAACACGATCTGTTCAAGGAGGCCAGAAAATATCCTCTCCATCACCTCCTRCAGGAGGAGACGTCCTACATCTTTGTCAGTGTTACACAGGTGAGAACTTGGGGATGCCTTCAGGTGAGTGAAGCGCATCACCGGCAGACTTAGATTTAGAGAGTTTTCAGACCCCTCTAACGACTTCTTATTTTTCAAAAAGCAACTAGCGACAAATCTAGCGACTTTTCCCGGTGTTCGTGGTGACTTTTGGAAGCTTTGTTGTCTACACTTTCTGAGCATTTTTCTTGCTTTTTTTCCTCTTTAACATTAATGTACAACTCTCCTATAGCTTAGATCACAATTATCGGCAAACGTCCAAATATGCGAATTAGGCGATGACGTCATCTACTGACTTCTAGCGGATTTTAGGACTTAGGATAGCTACTTTTCTTCCTGAGGAGTTAGCAGCACTGATCACGCGTGGGCTGGCTCCAAACTCTCTTGCTGCCTTGGTACGTTCAGAAGTCACACAGAGGTGGCCAGAAAGCGTCCCGGCTGAGTTTTCTTCCAAAGAACCTAAATGGTGACAGATCCAGGACCACCTATCATCATTGATGAAAACCTGACATGGAGACCTCATATAAATTACTTAAGAACAAAAATAGCAAAATCTATTGCAGTACTGCATAAAGTAAAGGAGTTATTTAATGATAAAGCCCCATTTATAATATATAATTC